AATAATTTAATTTACACGTGTTTTCATGCGATGGCCAAGTCAATATATTTATGTAAAACGTTAAAGATTTCAGGGCCTGGACTTGGTATTACATGGATCTCACAACTTTTTACCGTAGAACAACTGAGTTGCGAGACTTGGTTTTTTTGACAAGTATTGTTTTTGATGGGATCTCATTTCTTTTTGTATTTTGTAGACAGCAGTTATGTATCTAGAAAACTGGACCGAAATTGAAAAATTTTACTCGACTTGGCGGTTGCACTACCGTGCCCCCAAATATTTTAGTTTTTCCTTGATTCATACACCAAACACTACTTATATTCCAAATTTGAAGCTTCTAGGTCTGCTAGAAGTGCCTTAGAGTTTTGATGATCGGTGAGTCAGTGAGTGAGTCAGTGAGTCAGTGAGTCAGTCAGTGAGTGACAAAATTAAGTAACTTTGACCCGTTATAATTCTTAAACTACTGGTTCAAATTGAATGAAATTTTAAATATACCGTGTCTAAACAATACCTGCATAGCTAATGAAAATTCAGCCTTCTAGTTTTATCCACAACGAAGTTACAGGCGGTCGAAAATGGCCTGAATTGCTTCGAGAAAAGGATGGTACGGCCGTGCCGCTTTTTTGCTCGACTTGGTGGGGGCACTGCCGTGCCCCCAGATAGGCACTTTTATGTATTACTTGCTGTTAGCCATTCAACTGAAATGAATCGCAGCATGAAAACACAGCGTAATCACAATCGCGATAAACGATAATTTCCGAGCTGAGTAATTGATTGGGCCTATTTCCCGGGCAATCAGTGTACTGCAGTGTGTGTCCGGATTTAGGCCCGTGCTCGCTGACCTGCATATTGCTTTGTTAGTTGTTGGACATAGATAAGGTCCATGTTGGACATAATGGGCCTTATTATAAAAAAGCTAAACCTGGAACGAACTCTGGTTTAAAATGACATTTCTATACAAAATGTCAATTTAAACTAGGGTTCAAACTGAGACTAACTTTTTGTAATAAGTCCATGGTTTGTATGAAGGTATGACTTTCATTGTTCAAAACAAGATACTTCTAACCGAGAATAGGCCAACTTGAAGGTTGAACTGGCATCCTCGGGACTGAGGAACGCTGGTTCGAACTCCGCTGCCGCTGGTCTATTTGTGACGGACTCAATCATAAAGAGAAAAGGGGTTACCGGGACTATTAGCTATTAGTATTTTGTGCAACACAAATTACTCGTAATACTTATATTCTGTAAAAAAAAACATAGTGATATTAACTTACTTAAAAATATTAACTTTAATACTAATTAACCATTGTTGTACATAAGTATTTGGGAGAACAAAAACATGTTGTTATTACTTATGCGCATAGTTTGATGTGACGTCACGTCTGTGTACATACCGCAGCATCGAAGGGCTTAAATATCCGTTCGGAGATTTTGATAGAGATAGTGCTTGCGACCCAATTCGAATAGAATAAAGGGATGCGAGGCGTCGATTGTCGATTATCGATGTTTAAATAAAATATTTATTTTAAATAACTAATGACTTATTCGCGTACCGGAACAATAGCGGATTTTAATCTCACCAGAAGGTAACATATTTTGCGTTGTACGTATACAGGGTAACTTTGCAAGGTACATATTGCTAAAGGACAATGTTCGTTCTCCATACATTGTTCGCCTAAAAACCAACAATTTTGACATATTACTACCCGAAAGCGAAATAATACGATTCTGTGTGTAAGAACAATGATTCCTGATGGACACTTGCCATAAAATTAATGATTAAGAATATTAAATCACAGCGATTTTATAATATGTCGTTTATGACAACATGGCGTCTAATGTATTAAGTGAATGTATGAACACCGATTCGCGAAAAATGTTTTGTATTGTCGTCACGCCGAGTCGCAGCCAAATAGTATAAAATAATAGAACAAGTTTTAGAAATACAACTCGGCATTCCACTTTTATAATATGCCCACATATTGCACGTAAATAAACAACATGAATCGTAGGTTGTTTCCACCCTTGTCATCTGACACATGAAATAAACTCCTATTGTATTATAGATATCGAAGCCGAATCGTATATAATAATAGAATGGGTTTTGGAGATCACTCGGGGTTCCACTTTTATAAAATACCTACCCCCAATGCTTTCCATGTTGCCTGGTTGATAGTGACCTGCTTCCAGCGCTTTCCTGCTACCTTTACGATGTCGTCGGTCCACCTTGTAGGTGGACGTTCTGTTGTTTCGTGGTACGATAAAATAGAGTTGGTCACTTTTCTATTAAAATTTCTGGGTTCAATTAGCCACAGTAGAACACACATAGCTATAGCTTTTTCAAAAGAGTCCCTGAACTTAAATTTTAATATGCTTATTAATTTTGTCGGCCATTTGGTGTAGTGGTTCAGAACAGACTACTATGCCGAGAGGTCCCAGGTTCGATTCCCGGCCGGGAAGAAATTGAAATGATGAATTTTAATTTCTGTGACGGGTCTGGGTGATACTATGTATAATAATGTATGTATTTAAAAAAAAGCATATAAGTAGTTAATATCCGTTAAGCTAAGTAAGGGTTTGTGATAAGTAAAATGTACTGTAATGACAATTAAAGCTAAGCTATTGTCATCTAGTATTGAATGGCAGGTTCTTACCTTATCATGAAAACGTTTCTTATCTGTAAGATGGGCATGGTGTGGTATTTTGTAAACAATGAAAGCTCTATTGTTTAAGTTCAAACATTTTCTGTTTAATGGGCCATTCTTAAATTTGTGCCAAATTTTTTAAAAAAATTAAAGATTTTTTTTTTAAACTTTTTGCGATGCGTATCGAAAGTATNACATTTCTTTTTAATACCGAAAATAACAAAAGGTTAACCTACGTTCTGTGTGGTATTTTCAACTTTAACTTTTGCACACTTTGCAAATTGGTTTTTAATTTAAAATGCGTTTCCATGTATGCTGTTACAAAGTATTTAGAGTGAAATTTAAATTAAATCTCGAAAGAATTATTATACTTATTGCATACCTATCATCTGCTTATTTATTTCAACTTTAATGCCTTATAATTCATAAAATATTGGGCGACTTTAATGCCTTATGGCTTTTTGTGCCAGTCAATCTTCGGGAAAAATTGTAATTATCTAAATATACAGGATGGCCAAAACAGTGAGGGCTAAAAGAAAAATTTAGATTTCTTACATCAAAGTGTATNCCAAACTGCAAAAGTCTATGAAATCTGCAGTATACACGCCGCAGCGGCAATGCCGCGCTGCCGATTTCATAGAGTTTTGCAGTTTGCGGTCTGCGGCCAGTCTTGGAATTGTACCTTAAATCTTAATATTTGTTACCAACTTGTCTGGCATTCCCTGGCACCATCTAATATGCAGCCTGTTTAACCTTTATCATACATAGGTGTCCTCTTAGTTGGTACATAAAGTAGCTATGTGGGTCACGCAGCATCTTGCTATTTGAATGATACCTACATTTTTGAAATTCTAATAATTCCGTAACCGAAATTATCCGAAACTTTCGGATAATCTGAAATGATTTCATATCCGTGACCGTAACCGAAACCGGTATAATATTATTGTAATATCCGTAACCGTATTCATAACCGAAACTTCATATCCTTATTATCCCTGTTACCAAGTACAAGTGCAGGTAGTAACGGCGCGCACGCACGGGTGACTTTTGTCACAGTATGTCAACTACTAATTACTGTCATGGTGACAAAAGTTTCTGTGAATTTTGGGCACATTAGAATAATAATTTTTAACCAAGGTAGATAAAGTTAAAAACGGGACTATTTCCAAAAAACCAAAAATTGTCGACAATTACAGCAAGAATTTACCAAGTGTTATACCATTTTGGAATCCTTACTAAATGCGCCAAATTATGACGTCACATGCCACACTTGCGTAGTACAATTTTTTTTCAGTACAGTCAGTTTAAACTAGGCAAAATTTTTATTTTGAAATTTTTTTTGGGAATAATGTATTTTTTTCATCCAAGTTGGAGCAGCTGGTTTTGTAATTTTTATAACAATTTAGAGAAGCATTATTCAGGGTTACATAACAAAAAAAAATTTGGAAAAGTGAAGATTTGTGGCAACACGAGTAAAAAGACCGTCAACTGGAGTAGAAATTTTTGATTTTTTTTAAATGCCCATTATTTTGAAAATATGCCACATAGATTTTTTTTTATATTTTTCTGATAACCAGCACAACTTGCCTCAACACCCAGTTCCGGCTTGACGTTACATTACGGGACACCCTGTATATATAAAAGAAAGTCCTGTTAGTTACTCCACTTATAACTCAAGAACGGCTGAACCGATTTAGCTGAAAATTGTCAGGGAGGTAGTTTAGAGCCAGGAGAAGGACAAAGAATACTTTTTATCCCGTTCGAAATTAAAAAAAAAGTCTGCTTATTTATTGCCATTAAGGCGGAACAAAGTTCGCCGGGTCAGCTAGTTTTTCATACAAAAGGATTTTCCCGCTAATTCCTGTTCCCGTGGGAATTCCTTAGTATACTATAACCTGCCCAGGAGTATGAAGAATAATTGTACCAAATTTCGTTAAAATCCGTCGAGTAGTTTTTGTTTCTATAAGGAACATACAGACAGACAGACAAAAATTTTACTGATTGCATTTTTGGCATCAGTATCGATCACTTATCACCCCCTGATAGTTATTTTGAAAATATATTTCATGTACAGAATTGACCTCTCTACAGATTTATTATAGGTAAGTATAGATTTTGCTAGACAAAGGCCTTCCCCAAGGATTTCCACAAAGACCGGTCCTGCGCCGCTCGCATCCAGGCACCTCCCGCGACCTTCACCAGATCGTCGGTCCACCTAGTGGGAGGCCTGCCCACGCTACGTCTTCCGGCTCGTGGTCGGCACTCAAGAACTTTCCTGCCCCAGCGTCTATCAAATCAGTCAGGTACTAAGATATTATCAAGAGTAAGGAAATAAATGAAATTATATGCAAAGACAGGAACAAAAATTAGTTTATTCTGTTCTGATCAGCCGAAAATACTCTCAAAAGAAAGTTTTTGTATTCATCTTCATTAGAGTCATAAACTAATTTCATATTATTTCCACTATCAGACGTGAAGTTATTGGTGTTGATTCCTCTCATCTCGCCTGAAAAAAAAACAAAAAAAAATAGTTTGGTTTATCGTGATAATATTCTTGTCATCCTGTTAGGTATCTGTATCAACAACAACATCAAAGTGGACCGATGACCTCACTTTATAAATTTATTTTGTACTACTTTTAGCTTTTGTCCGCGGCGTCACCCGCCTAAAATTCAGTTTTTGATAGAACAAAAATCTTGAACAAAATTNGTAAAGTTGAATCAAAATCTGTTCATTAGTTTTTGCATGAAAGGGTAACAAACATCCATATTCACAATTTTTAGCATTTATTATTATTAGTAGTACTTACCACATAAAATAATTCCGTTATCAGTAAGTCTTATGTCCTCAATTATGCTGTTATCTAGGGCCATGCTCATAACGGCCGGATCTAGTAGTCGCCAGAGAGTGCTCTTTGGTATAGACACTTGTTCGAATTTGTTTTGTTCCTGCATTATCTTTGTGTTTATTCTGCCAAGTTGCTTTACGCGCCATTCCTGTAATACAAACATTTACAAAAAATGCACGAGTACCTATGTATCGATGCTGAATTAGATTTTGAGTATCTCCCACATACTACTTTTAGCATCGACGATTTTGCGACTATATCGATGCAGCGGCCCGATTTCGCGACTTCATTGCGTTCGGAGTTCGGCGCGAGTTCTAGCTACTGATTTCGCTGCGTCGAGCTTAAGAAAAGCGACTTAATCACCAGTTTGGCGTTTTTAAGTGTGCTATGTGTAATTGGTCGCGGCATTAAGCTTCTTAAAACCGGCTAAATCGCCGATAGTAGCGTGTGTGTGTGGCTAAAATTCATTTTTTTCTGACCCAATAAAATGGCCAATCCGTACCGCCGTGGAGTGGCAGGTTATGTGGGGGCTTGAACCCACTAAAAACCTGGTGTATTCCCTCTGCCGCACAGTGGGACGTCCCTCCCTACACGGCAGAACCGATGGGATTTACCAGGACCTAACACATGCCACATTATGAAGGAGCACGCGTACCCTTATCCGAGGAAAACCAGTAAAACGGCACGAATTTCGTTCCGTGGTTGTGTTCCAATTTTTTTAAACTTTTTATTACTTACCCTAGTCACATTCAACGAGTATCTCACTCGATTATATGGAACTACCGTCACTTTGTCACTGCTAGCGTATTGTGCGACTATGTGGTATGCTTCTACGTCTAGTTTCGCATTGAACTCTGCTGTTTTGGTGTTTTCATCTGAAATAACAGTAAAAGGCCGTGTAAATACCATAAATTCTGTCAGAAATGGTATTTTGTAACCTTTCATTCTACGAGTAGGTACTTAGTTTATGGCATGTTTCCAAATTTTATTTTGGCTTCTCAAAATAGCCCCTTCCATAATAGAAATTAGATGAATAATTACTTCGAATTTTTTCAGCAGCTGTCTAACTAATTATCGTGTTTTTTAAAATGGTACCCAAGTCTGATATAAATTTTATTGTACTATTATTTTTATATACCACTACATTTTTATGACCGAAATAAAAATTCTGGATAATGAGTTACTAATACTGATCCTATTTAAGCAAAAAAAAGTTAAATAAAGTTACTCAAAATTTCATCCCAAAATTGGTAATTTATGGACACACGCGTCGCTAGCACTATTTACTTAAGATAATGTAAGACTTATTAGAACTCAAAATTACTTGAAATGTTGCATTAAAATGGTCTAAGTTAGCTAAGTAAGTAATAATAACACTGGAAGCGTGGTCAAGGCGTGAGCGAGACAGACAGACCGGGGCAATGTGCGAGCGCGTACGACTACTCTAGCAACTCTAGCGAGCAGCGGAGTGCCCCGGCTGTGACGCGTAAAATACGGACTAAAGAAAATTTTATAAAAAATTGAACTTTATGAAAAAAAAAATTTTTTACTTAAAATTTTTTACACATTTCTACATAACCTGTTTAAATTTTTTCGGTGATAAAAAATGTAGTGGTGTATAAATTGGGTTATTCAAAAACAAAACAAAATTATAGTTCAATCATCTTGTTTTATTACACATTATTTAAAAATATCGGTAAAAACATTTTCATATTATAGTAGTTAGTAGCACATAATAATAAGTGTAGGTAGTCCTATATTTTTTTTAATTTAATAATATTACACAAACATGGTTATTGAATAATACACAAATAATACTAGTTAATTATGTTAAATGTGAACTAAAGTACAAGTTTGATGTTTTTAAAAAACAATTATGATCAAATCTTGCTTTATTGACTTCTGTCAGTAACTACCACATACAGTTTAGCTTAAAACTAAATAAAAAGAAGACAATTTAGCTAATAAAATATTTTTACATCATGTATATTTGACAAATTTTAATATTACATACACAACACAGGGAATAAATCGTTTCAAAAAGTTACATTTACAGTTACATACCTATTCTTAAACATAAAATAATTATATCACTTCTGAAAATAGTTCTATCTTAAAACCTCCATCATCTTCAACGCACATGACAGCAGTGACATAGTCACCTCTGTTAACCTCCAGTGGTTGGTCCTTATAGAAAACAGAACTATGCACGAAACTGGACTTTCGTTTGGTGGATATTTCTGCAGCACCATCCATTACTTTGATCACATACCAACATAGCATACCATTGCATGCCCCGTCTCTCTCGACGTGTATTGAAACTACACAGGGTATCATACTGTGACAGCTGTCAGTTAAGTGTACTGGTCGAGACATATTTTTGTGTTCCAACCGCGTCGGGTCAACATAGGATATCTGCGATTCTGTGAATATGTTGGTCCTCGATCCTGGGGGCATAGCAGACATAGCTTTCTCGGTTAATTTATTATGTTTATCCAACAATTCACTGCTGATGAGTTGGACCTTCATAGACACATTTGGCATAAATAATCCCCCTTCTTGTAATCGCGCATGCTTCAGTAGTTTAGCCAGGCTATAAAGTGATCTGTCGATGTTGCCACTCATATTTAATACGTCACAATAAACTGCGTGGAATCTTTTGCCGTCAAACGGCTCAAGAGACAAGTTTTCGTAAAGCAATATTTCTACTCTGGACAGGCAAATATTGTGCCTACGGAAAACCTTTTTAAAAAACTTTTTATCTTGACGATCACGGGCCATACAAATGAGAGATTGCGCTCCTCGCTTCATCATCATCATCCCGAAGACAGGAAACGGACACAAATCTACAACGTCGACTTCTTCTATCTCCACCATTTGTGTTAAATGAACTGTTGCTATTTGTGCACTTTTAATAATCTCATTAATATAGACGTCATCGTTCAGGAACGTTGTTAATTGCTTTGACACTCTCGTTATTAGTTTTCTACAATCTGGCAGAAATCTTAGTCTCCCGCCAAATGTTGAGAACTGAGCAATGAAAGATTCACCTTCTGTGTATTGCATTGGTATAAAATCATGAAACACAGCTTGTTTCCACGCATCTGATCTCTCTTCTGATCTAGGATCGGTTGTCATAACGATGTCCTCGGTTATAAAAAGTTTGAAAAATCCTACCAGTGCATTGACTTCACCGCTACTTGTAACCGTCAATTTTGCATTGTCTGGAAAAATATTGGCAATTTTTTTGTTAATATCGGCAAACGAATTAAAGTTTATTTCAAAGACTAACTCTTCTTGCGTCACGAACTCTAAGTCTTTGTATGTGAAGATGTCTTCACCAAAGTATGGATCACGGTTATGTGTTTCTGTGTGTAAAAATAAGTCTTGAACACCAAGGAGTGTTTTAGCATCCGCAGAAATTTGGTATTTTTTTGGAATCTGCTCACAGCGGACGCCAATAACATAAAATTCAGCCCGGCCAGGAATTACCCGCGCTGAAGGTGTAAGAACCCTATTCCAAGCCGATAGGATGGTAAATAATAGCTCACTACCTAAAAGGCCGGCGTCAAATCTATTTGTTATCACAAGCAGGTTGCTTCTGTAGGAGCCAACTTCAATATCTTCAATATCTTCGATCTTGGTTCCTTTTTCGATTAAAAAGAAGTCTTGTTTCGGGTCTTCGAATGAATGTTGTATCGATGTTTCTGCTGATTCCTTACTTTCAATTTCTTCTTCTTTCCTCAGGATAGANCTCTATTGTTTAAGTTCAAACATTTCTGTTTAATACAGAAAATAGCAAAATGTTAACCTACGTTCTGTGTGGTATTTTCAACTTTAACTTTTGTACACTTTGCAAACTAGTTTTTAATTTAAAGTGCGTTTCCATATTATATTCTGTTACAAAGTATTTAGAGCGACATTTAAATTAAATCTTGAAAGAATGACTATACTTATTGCATACCTATAATCTGCTTATTTATTCAAACTTAAATGTCTTATAAATATTGGGTGAGTTTAATGCCTTATGGTTTTTTGTGCCAGTTAATCTTCGGGAAAAAACAAAAAAAACACGTACTTTTAAACCTTTGAATAAACACTTTTTACATGGTCCGTACATTGACTAAAATCATCATAGTAAACTAAGATCAATAGATATAAATGCCTTTATAATCCACAAGGTGGTCCGACGACCTGATAAAGGTAGCAGGAAGGCGCTGGATGCAGGCCGCTACCAACCGTGCGATGTGGAAGTCATTGGGGGAGGCCTATGTTCAGCAGTGGACGTCCTGTGGCTGAAATGATGATTATGATGATGTCAAAATGCCTTTATATGATTAGTAAAATAACTTACCATAAACATGACCGGCACCAACATAGATCTGTTTAAGTCTTGTTAAGAATTCGGGATCAATTTTGATTGCCAAAGCAATGTTGGTCAACGGAGCTAAAGCGACCACTATGAGTTGTCCTGAAATCAACAAACTTATGTTTGTATACTGCAAAGACTTAAAGTGGTGTGGTGTTTACTAGTAATTTTAATTAGGCACTGTCAAAATAATTGTATGTGAATTTAAAAAAATATTTTTGTGAAATGCAAAATAAAAGCTAGTTACTCCGTTCTAGATTTTAAGAAAAAAGCACTTTAGGTATCGAATTAACTGAGCTTTGTTAGACACCTAAGATAAACTTAAACAAATTAAATGCTTTTGAACTCTATGATCTACCAGTCAGCGGTTCCCGAATGGTGGTCCGCGGAACCCTGGGGTACCGTGGAAAGGCCGCAAGGGTACCGTAAAAAATATTATCCCACGTTTCGTGACCGACGTTGTTCGCGCGCACCGACTTGTTTACGCACAAGGGAGGGGCAGGGGGCAGGGCGTGCAGGCTGCAGGCGGAGTAGTACGGGGGTTCCGCTAGGAAAAGTATAATCAATTATGGTTCCTTGGCAAAGAAAAATTGGGAAACCCTGATCTACCTACTTAATACCAATTTCATAGGAACTTTTCCGATTATTGGAATTCTTATTCGAATTACTAATGCTTTTAGTATGTTATCGGTAATTTTAGACGATAAATGAATAGTATGATAAATGAAAATCGATAAAATGGCTATCGTAATGCGCATAATGCGCATCACAATAGGCATTTTATGCAGTCAGAGCAGTAGGTCTAGGATGCGCGCCGCGATAAGCTTTTAACACGCCATTTTATCGATTTTGCGTGATAAGCCCATACGTTTGTCGTCTAAAATCAGGAATAGTTTTTGAAGTAACTTACCTTCGTATTTCTTAGAGAACTCAATGAGAGCTAGAGCTGCCACCAGTGGCTCCGCTTTTATGGCTCGGTAGCTGACATTCTTGCTGTCTCCTAGACCATCTACTCCGAAGTAGGCGTCCGAAGAATAGCCAAGGACCAGTGCATCGGCACTGCCTCTGTATATTGGCACCTGGAAACAGCATTTGTTCAAGAATTATCTTTTTAATTGTCAATTTTAGGGAAGGTGTTTACACTAGAGATGAAACGGATAGTTGTTTGGCCGGATACCGGATATCCGGTCAGCTGCTAGGCCGGATAGCCGGATAGTTGGCCCATTGTCTCGTTGCATGTCGTGACGAGTTTAGGGCCGCACAGGTGCTTCGAACGCGATCAGTCGGTATATTATTAGATTAGACTAGTCACACTTTTCGAAAATCGAATCCATTCGAATAGAATGTCAGATTTTGCCACTTGTCTAGGGGGCAGATCAATTCGGGCGATTTCGGTTGCCATCGTGAGTGTGTGTTTGAATAGCGAATATTAAATTAGTTTACTTGCTGCGTAATCTGACTGAACTGCATCATGTCATCAAACGATCAGTAAAAAAAAGATCGTCTATTTTATTTGGAAATATTTCGACATTAACAGATATTTACTATTTATGTATTCGTCATTAGAGTGAATTGCCCAGAAAAAGAAATTAGTTTTTTTGTAAGGCCTTAATATGGCTTTTTTGTAACTTTTTGGACTTTAATTATAAACCGTCATTATTATAAGCCATTTTATTGATATTTACCTCAAAGATTAATGTATTTCATTTTATTAATAGAAAATTGTCGTAGTTTTTAAATATCCGGTATCACATCGACGCTCTGGTACGAAGCGGGCGAACGCGTGGAGTTTTGCGGGTGAGTGCGAGGGAGAGTCGCATTCCAGCGAGGTACGCAGTTAGCTAGATCGGGTTGTAATGTAAGTAACTAAGTAAGCCCCTTTTTAAAGACTTGCCGAACACCGGAATAAGGCTGAAGGCCAAGGATGCGCACCACAGTCTGTTATCGTGGCATTTCATAGATTTTGCACGATAAGCCCATTCATTTATCGTCTAAAGTACGGCCAACTAGCAGCGATACAAAAGAAAACGACTGTCTTTGTCGTAATGTCTCGTTCTCCCTCCAAAATGTATGTCAAAGTCAGACGGGTTCACCCATGACATTGGGTTTGTTTACATTTGGTATCGCTTCTCGTTGGCCGTACTTGTGACCGTACTTTATAATAGTCGATAAGATTTTATCATGGCGCACATCTTAGCCCAGCTGGAGTAGGTAATATAAAAAGATTCACAGTAACTCCGTTACTAATTTAAAGATACGCACATATTGAACACTAGCTTAAAATGGAATTTTCATGCATGCCGAGTTGCAGCAGAGCAGAGCTGAGTACTATAACAAGAACCGGTGATTTTTGTATGGAATTTGACAGATTTTTGACGTTTGTTAAAGTCAAAGTAAGATGTGCAACCCAGCCCAGTCTTTAGTTTAAACAAGTGTCTCGAAGTAACGCGAGAGAAGTAAGAACTTGAGTGTAACTTTTGAAATAACTAAGGCAGTTGCTATTATTTTTCGTATAAAAGAAAACGAAACACTATAATTTCTTACATCTCTTCTCTCGGCGACATCAAGGATCCTCTGGCTGTTGATGTACACTTGAGATTCGTTCACATTTCCGTTGACTGTAGTGAGCCCGACCACATTAGGCCTGGAAAGTTAAAAATTAATATGTATCAAATATAGGTAATATTATAAGCAACACTATACAAAAATTCGTAATAAAAAACCTATTTTGAGTGCAAATAATCAGGTGGAATCTAAAGTATTCCGAGATAATAATAACAATAACTAGCTGTGCCCGCGACTTCATACGCGTGAAAATAGTTCGAATAATACATATTTCTCTTCGATCGATCGGACCAGTAGCAGTTCCTGAGAATAGCGCGTTCAACCAAAAAAAAAAGAACTCTTTAGCTTTATAATTTATTAGTAGATAGGAAATAAATGAACTGAATTACATGGGCTCTTAGATTAATAAAGCCTTGGGATTGTATTTTGTTTGAACATCAAGACCAACACGATTCAATTAATTTAAAGATTCATTGTATGGATACTCATTCAAACGAATCATCAGTCACTGATCTATGTATTTATTAAATTATTTCTTTCTTTTACAAGGACGCTTACTGAGACAGAAAATACCCTACTTACTTATTTAAGCCTACAAATAAGTTGTATGAGAATTTCACACTAATTTGAGATCAAATTAATTGAACCTTGAAAAAGTTTCTTATTTTAAACAGTGATGATTGACGTAATTATCAGACGCATGCCTATTTAAAAAACACAATGAAATACATTTAATTAAAATTGATAATAATATCACCTAGTGAACAGCTGCTGCAGCTGACAAGACAAAACCAAAATAATTTTTAGTTTCAAGTTTTTTAACCGTGACGATTGACGTCAATACTGCCGCACAATTTATANAATGATGATGATGATGATGTCAAAATGCCTTTATATGATTAGTAAAATAACTTACCATAAACATGACCGGCACCAACATAGATCTGTTTTAGTCTTGTTAAGAATTCGGGATCAATTTTGATTGCCAAAGCAATGTTGGTCAACGGAGCTAAAGCGACCACTATGAGTTGTCCTGAAATCAACAAAGTTATGTTTGTATTACAATGTTTTGCTTTACGAAAAATTACTGCAAAGACTCGAAGTGATGTGGTGTTTACTAGTAATTTTAATTAAGCACTGTTAAAATAATTGTATGTGAATTAAAAAAAATTGTGAAATGCAGACCAAGAGATTCTCCGTTCTAGATTTGAAGAAATAATAATAATATAAGCTTTGTTAGACGCCTAAGATAAACTTAAACAAATTAAACGCTATTGAACTCTATGATCTACTTAATACCAATTTCATAGGAACTTTGATGAATCAGAGGTGGAATTGTGTAAAGCAATCGTAATCATTTGACAGTTTATAACGTACGATAAGAATAAAGAGTATAGAGTAAGTATATAGAATAAGAACAAAGCGTTTGACAGAATTTATGTCAAACGCTTTGTTTAACTGATTATATCGTACGTTATGAACTTTCAAATGATTACGATTGCTCCTCAGAATGCTTTTAGAATGTTATCGGTCATTTTTGACGATACATGAATAGTATGATAAATGAAAATCGATAAAATGCCTATCATAATGCGCATTATCCCAGCATTAGGCCTAGGATGCGCGCCGCGATAAGCTTTTATCGCGTCATTTTATCGACATTGCGTGATAAGCCCATACGTTTGTCGTCTAAACTCAAGAATAGTTTTTGAAGTAACTTACCTTCGTATTTCTTAGAGAACTCAATGAGAGCTAGAGCTGCCACCAGTGGCTCCGCTTTTATGGCTCGGTAGCTGACATTCTTGCTGTCTCCTAGACCATCTACTCCGAAGTAGGCGTCCGAAGAATAGCCAAGGACCAGTGCATCGGCACTGCCTCTGTATATTGGCACCTGGAAAGAGCATTTGTTCGAGAAATATCTTTTTAATTGACAATTTTAGGGAAGGTGTTTATACAGCCCGATCGAGTTCTGCGCATCTGTCAGCTGTGACGTCATATCGACGCTCTGCTACGGACGTGTGGAGCTTTGCGGGTGAGTGAAAGGGAGAGTCGCGAGGTGCGCTGTAAACTCCTTTATTAAAAACTTGCCGAACACCGGAATAGGGCTGAATGAAGGCCAAGGATGCGCGTCACAACAAACTGTTATCGCGGCATTTTATAGATTTTGCACACATTTAAGATTTTATCATGGCCCACGCACATCTTAGCCCAGCTGGAGTAGGTAATATAAAAAGATTCACAGTAAGTCCGTTACTAATATAAATATACTTATTGAACAACTAGCTTTTGTCCGCGGCTTCACCCGCGTGAAATTTAGTTTGTCACATATCGTCATAAATTATAGCCTATGTGTTATATTCTGCGTTATAAACAATAATACTATAAAGTTTCATCAAAATCCGTTCAGTAGTTTTTGCGTGAGAGTAACAAACATCCAGACATGCAAACTTTCGCATTTATACAGGGTGTTTGGTAAATGGGTATATGAGCCGACACTAGCCCATGTTAGCATGGTCATATAAATGGTATGGTGAAGTCAGAAAATTGATATCTTCATTTTAATTATTTTAATTTTCATACAAATCCGAATTTATAAAATTTATTTTGTATGAAACTTAAAAAAAATAAAATGATGATATCAAATTTCTGACTTCACCATACCATTTATATGATCATGTTAACATGGGCTAGTGTCGGCTCATATACCCATTTACCTAACACCCTGTATATTAGTAGGATTGCCAAACACCGGATAGGGTTGAAGGCCAAGGATGCGCGCCACAATCTGTTATCGTGGCACTTTATAGATTTTGCACGATAAGGCCATACATTTATCGTTTACAATAGTCGATAAGATTTTATCATGGTGCACATCTTAGCCCAGCTGGAGTAGGTAATATAAAAAGATTCACAGTAAGTCCGTTACTAACTTAAAGATACGCACCTATTGAACACTAGCTTAAAATGCAATTACATGCATGCTAAATTGCACCACTTAACTTTAACCGTAACTTTAATAATAAAATCGATGGTTTTTGTATAGAGTTCGAAAGATTTTTGACGTTTGTTAAAGTCCGCAACCCAGCCCAAGAGTCTTTAGTTTAAACAAGTGTTCACCGCAAGTGTAACTTTTTAAAATTACTTATGGGATTGATATTATTTTTCATATTAAAAACATCAACTCTATTATCTTACATCTCTTCTCTCGGCGACATCAAGGATCCTCTGGCTGTTGATGTACACTTGAGATTCGTTCACATTTCCGTTGACTGTAGTGAGCCCGACAACATTAGGTCTGAAAAGTATAAAAAAATTCGCAATGAAAAATCCATTTTGAGTGCAAATAAATCAGGTGAAATCAAAAGATTCCGAGATATAACAATAACTAGCTGTGCCCGCGACTTCATACGCGTGAAAATAGTTCGAATAATATTTCCCGTTTTGGCAACATTTTTCTTTACTGCTCCGCCCCTCTTCGATCGATCGGACCAGTAGCAGTTCCTGAGAATAGCGCGTTCAACCAAACAAACGAACTCTTTAGCTTTATACATTTATTAGTAGATAGGAAATAAATGAACTGAATTACATGGGCTCTTAGATTAATAAAGCCTTGGGATTGTATTTTGTTTGAACATCTCGACCAACACGATTCAATTCATTCAAAGATTCATTGTATTGATACTCATTCAAACAAATCATCAGTCACTGGTCTATTTATTAAATTATTTAATTCTTTTACAAGCATGCTTATAGAGACAGAAAATACCCTACTTAGTTACTTAAAAGTAGGGATGTTATAGATAATGTAGTTTCGGTTATGGATACGGATATTTTTTTATTTCGGATATCCGTAAGTATCGTTTACGGTTACGGATATCTGTGCTTTAGAATGCAATTTGCAATGGTTGTCCAACACGGTTCAATCATGGCCGCACACTTTACATCGAATAAAAAGTAATAAAAAAATAAAAATTGATACTAGATGGCATTATAAAGGTAAATCAGGCTGTTATGCCTTTACATATAATGCTATACAAATAACAATTTAAACTGCCTACATCCGAAACTATCCAAAACGTTTGAATCGGTTACGGTTATTTTTTTATTTCGGATATTCGAAAGTTTCGGTCACGGTTACGGATATCCATAACATCCCTGGTTAAAAGTACCTACAAATAAGTTGTATGAGAATTTCACACTAATTTGAGATCAATTGAACCTTGAAAAAACAAAAAAAAAACAGTTTAAAGTTTCTTAATTTAAACACTGATGATTGACGTAATTATCAGACGCATATTTATAAAACAATAAGCCACATTTAATTAAAATTGATAATAAAATCACCTAAGTAAATTAAGCTAACAGCAGCTGCAGCTGACAAGACAAAACCAAAATAATCTTTAGTTTCAAGTTTTTTAACCGTGACGATTGACGTCAATATCGGATGCATATTTTAATACAATTAAAAACATTAATTAAAATGGATAATAATATCACTTAAGTAAATTAATTTAACCGCAGCTGCGGCTATAAAATTAATTTAAGGAATATTAACTTCATGACTGCACCTGAAAAAATAATACTAAAATCCTTCAGTATTCGGTACCGGCTCTCAAGTAGGAAAGAAGACATACCCCATGAAGTATTTTTCTTCAAGCAACGCAATAAATATTGCCATAGCATCATCGGCGCCACCATCATGGTCTATAACAAGTTTAGGACCCCGTTTTTCTCTGAAAACATACACATTTTTTTTTAAATAGCACAATAATAGTATTTTTTTAGAAACCTTTAAGTCTCTATTTTGAAACTTTCGTGGTACAAATTGAAAAGATGACACGTCTTGACTCTCTATTGCATTATTACAGTCAGCCTCAAATAATGTTTCATGATACCCAAAGTGGCCAAAAAGTTACCAATACAACTTTTAAATCTTACCAAAGACGTTGCCAACTTTTTGGCTACTTTGGGTGTCATGAAATATTTGACGCTGACTGTACCACACAAAACTGACAAATGAAAGAAATATAAAATTAAAACGGCACAATTGGGCAGTGTTACTGCTAGAATATAATGTCGTGCAAATAAATCGTCCCTCGCATGACTAACTATCCTATCTCAGTCTTTTGGCGATTTGAGTTAGGACTACAATTTTTTCCTGCTTCCATTGTCTACGATTTTCTCTAACTCACGTATCTGTATGTACAGCCGTAGTAGCCGTATGTAGTGTCGGTTTTCGCTTGCACTAGGTTCTGTAAGAGTCAAACCTGCCAACATAATCGTGCAAGAAACAGTGTTGCTAACAGTTGTAGATACAATGTATCTCTCTACAAAATTTAAGAATAAATTAGCCTCATTGTTTGCATACAATATTAAATGTAATTATACTCATAAAACTGATCATAGTCAGGGTACTAATAATTTGATATCTCAGTATGTAAATAGTAACAATATTATGACTGTACCTACTNTGTTTATTTTTCTATCCCATCAGTGCAATGTTACAAAATGTAGTTTTTTTAATTTAATAGATAATGGCAGGTTGAACCAACAAGAAGGTTTTACTTTATCAATCATAATAATCTTCTTGACAAGTTAAATCGTCAAACAACTTTGATCTGAATAATTTTGAACTTTACTGACGAACAGTTAAAGATTATTTTCTCTAACTCGAGATTATTCTGTAACATAGTTTCAAAAGGTAATATGTGCTCGCGATTCGTTGAAGGAATCAATTTGAAAACTGACGAACCTTTTCATTCCGTGACTGTACATTGGTTCTCAACTTATAGACACTTATGAAAACCCGTGGTTTTGAGAAAGTGGCAAAACTGAGATAAGAGAGTTAGTCATGTAAGTGACGAAATGTTTTATCTAATTATCTATCCAGGAAGATTTCCAAAAGGCCCTTCTCTATTTCAAGGCCTTCTATATTTACCTACAAAGATAATCGACTTAACTCAGCTATATGAAACAAAAATGTATTCAAATCATCCTCTACAAAGAATACACCTAAATAGCGATAAGTACGAGTAAATACAGCGTGCTATTTTTCTGAATTTAGTGTCAACCTTGATGGCTCTACATTCTTGGTATTATGTACGCAGCTTTTGCTAATGAGCTTATCAGGTAAAAAGCTCTTATCTTATTTTCTTTGTAATCCTTTGTGTACAGGGAAAGTACACCAGTCTTTACAACAATGAAAAAATATCAGTGTTTAACATGGTATGCTATTAGGACTTACTGATTTTTTTAAATGTTGATGATTTTTTTTAAAGAATCTTAGCAGCATTATAAGAAACTAATATGTATACTAAGAACATAAAACCCGGTCGTCTTTTTTATCATTATTTAATGCGAAGTAGAGAGAAATACGAGTACTTAGTATTGACTGATTGTCGATAGACGTTGATGGGCACCAGCAAATTTGCGCTTAATCATTTTAAATGATTCATCCTTGGCCTACAATTGAAAAATTTGGCTATGTAGGTATTTGCATATTTTTGAATTTGAATTACAATGAGGTTATTGAATATGACGTCTATGTATAGGTAGTGCCTAGGTACAGACTATTACAGACGACAGCACATTGAGGTAAAAACTGTAACGTCTATGTACACTGGACCGCAAGAAAAAGGTCGGAGAGAAAATCTTCTTAATATAATGGAAAAACTATGCATTTTCATTTATTTTACATGTACTAAAAATACAAATCTTTAATAAAGGCTGAGTTACACCACCTAACTATAACAGTAACTATAACGACCGGTGTTATTTGTATGGAGTTTGATAGACGTTTAAGTAAGATGGTGCAACCCAACCTTAGTCCGTGCCTTAGGTTACGGGTACGCTGGTTCAAACTGGTCGCGTCATGTGTGGTCTCTCAACGGACGCTATGGCAGAAACTTAGATGCAACTCAAAAGTAACTAGCAGTTGCAGTTTCGTTGCAGTTGCGTTTCACCGTCTGTTCTGGGCCTTAGTCTTTATTTCAGAAAGCTAGCTCTGGCACTTTTGAAGTTAATATAATGAAAATTTACTATCCAACCCTTATTCTGTGCGGTCCAGATTTTTCAAATCTCCAGTTGTACTTAAGTACCGGAGTTCCGACAATAATATTTTTTTTTAGAAAGTGCTGGTGTTTTCTCACTATTGTTTCCAGTGCAGTTAAAATGGGTGCCCCTTTTGCAACACAATGTTCAGCTGATTTGCAGCCGACTGTACTTATAGAAACAACACTATTTTATGGCAGCGATAATGAATTCGTGAGAAAGTTTTTTTATCTTTCACTATTCTACGCCGTGTATATTATACACTTGTACCTATGCGACAGCACCTCAAATTAAACATAGTGGCATTTTATGCAGATGTTTATGGATACGAATTTCCAGCAAATGATGAGTACTTTTTTGCGCTGCCGACTGTATTTACAATTTAGAGTAGGCGCACACCGTTGATTTTTAGTTGGCCGATAGTTGTGCCCGATTTTAAATTGTATGAAGAATCGGCCAAATCGAATCGGCGTAGTGTGCGCCGCACTCCCATACATACCCATACTGATCNGAGTGAGATCACTTATCGTTTCCACCCTGTATATTTACCTACAAAGATAATAGACTTAACTCGGCTATATGTAACAAAAATCTATTCAAATCATCCTCTACAAAGAATACACCTAAATAGCGATAAGTACGAGTATATACAGCGTGCTATTTTTCTGGTTTTAGTGTCAACCTTGATGACTCTACATTCTCTACCGGCGTGGTATTATGTACGCAGCTTTTTCTAATGAGCTTATCAGTTATCAGGTAAAAAGCTCTTATCTTATTTTCTTTGTAATCCTTTGTGTACAGGGAAGGTACACCCGTCTTTACAACAAAAAAAAAATCTGTGTTTAACTTGATGTGCTTTAGGACTTAGGCCCAAAACAGACGATGAAACGCAACTGCAACGAAACTGCAACTGCTAGTTACTTTTGAGTTGCATCTAAGTTTCTGCCATAGCATCCGTTGAGAGACCACTCATGACGCGACCAGTTTGAAACTTTCAGTTTCAGTTTCATTCATGAGAATCATCAGAAAGTTGCAGTTTCGTTGCAGTTGCGTTTCACCGTCTGTTCTGGGCCTTACTGTTTTTTTTTAATTTTGATGAATTTTTTTAAAGAGTCTTAACACCATTAAATGAAACTAAAAACTTAAAACCCGTTCCTCTTATTTATCATTATTTAATGCGAAGTAGAAAGAAATACGAGTAACTACTTAGTATTGACTGAATGTCGATTGACGTTGATGGGCACCGGCAAATTTGCGCTTAATCATTTTAAATGATTCATCCTTGGCCTACAATTGAAAAATTTGGCTATGTAGGTATTTGCATATTTTTGCATTTGAATTACAATGTGGCTATTGAGATGCCTGAAATATTGAATATGGCGTCTATGTGTAGGTAGTGCTTAGGCACAGACTACAGACGACAGCACATTGAGGTAAAAACTGTCTTATGTACAGTCGACAGCACATCAAGCTATACATTTTCGTTGCAAAGTCGCCCGTATCGCAACTACGTAAGACCGTACCTACATCGGATCGCAAGAAAAGGGTCGGTTATAAAATCTTCTATATCTTAAAAAGTACCTGACCTACTACGCATTTTCATTTATTTTACATTTATTTAAAAAAAAGTTTGAATTAATTTAATCTTTATTTATTAAAGCTAGCTGCTGGCATTTTTGAACAGTTTCTAACTAACCCTCATTCTTTGCGATCCAATAAATCCAATTTTATTTTAATCTCCAGTTGTAAGTACCGAAGTTCCGTTTTTGAGAGATAAGGAATTTTGAATATTTAGACAATAATCTATTTTTTTAGAAAGTGCTGGTAGTTTCTTGCTATTGTATCCAGTGCAGTTAAAATGGGTTCCAGTGTAGTTCAAATGGGTACCACTTTTGCAACACAATGTACAGCTGATGTGTAGCCGAATGTACTTACTTATAGAAACACCACAATTTTATGGCAGCGATAATGAATTCGTGAAAAAGATTGTTTTATCTTTCACTATACTACGCCGTGTATATTGCCACTTGTACAGGCGACAGCGAGTTAAACATAGTGGTATTATTTTTATGCAGGTTTTTAAGGATACGAATTTCCAGCAAATGATGAGTAGTTTGTTGTGTTGTCGACTGTATTTATAATTTAAGACCATTAGGATTAGTACTTTAGAACTAAGTAGTCTATCTGGTTTATTATGATCAAAATGATTCATTCGTTTCAGCCGAATGACGTCCACTGCTGGACAAAGGCCTCCCCCAAGGATTTCCACAAAGAACGGTCCTCAGGCCGACCGGTAAGAAAATGATTACTTACATAAATATAAATTGTTTTTACTCATAAAAATTTAAATATTATTATAAATAAAGATAAATCAAGAAAGTAATAAATATTTAAAAACAATAATAAATTGAAAATGTAAGCGAATAAATAAATAAAATACCAATAAGGAATTCATGTTTCAATAATTAACTTTAAAAAAAAACCGACTTCAAATGCGTGAACACAAAAAAAAACTAAAAATTAAAAAAAAAAGTTCTACCCTGGGGGGTGAAATATTTTCTTCAAATTCGCATGAAACCACCCTTTTGATAATACCTATTCAACAAAAAAATAATCGTTCAAATTGGTTCATAATCGGCGGAGATATTGCGTATAAAAAAGTTCATCCCCAATTTTCCACCCTTGGGGGTGAAATATTTTCTTCAAATTCGCATGAAACCACCCTTTTGATAATACCTATACAACAAAAAATTAATCGTTCAAATTGATTTATAATCGGCGGAGATATTGCGTATAAAAAACTTGAGGGTTGTTTTTTCTATTATTAAATTTAAATGGGACCACCCTTGAGGTATTACCTATACGCCAAAAAAAGATTTGCTCAAATCGGTTCATTAATTGGCGGAGTTATCGCGTAACAAACATAGAAAAAAAACATACGGGTCGAATTGAGAACCTCCTCCTTTTTTGAAGTCGGTTGAAAATATGCAGTTATTAAAATTAAGTGTCTCGTTTTCCAGAAATGACTAAGTATAATTAATTAATTTAATGTACTCATTAAAATATTATCATTGCTAAACATTTTAAATTAAAATATTGAACACAGTTTTGCGTGGATTATTATTATCAATATTGACCCATATTTTTTTTAATCTAAAAAATAATATCATACCTTCTAGCCAAAACTGAAGAAAGCCATAACACAAACACTATAATTTTGATAGCACTTTTCATTGTAGTATTTTTTGTATCACTGTGTACCAAAGAAGAGACTAAAAGGTGACTGAGGTTTTATATCGGATTTTCCTTGAAATGATAACAATAATAAGTACCAACTAAGTACCTGCAATATTATCTCAAGATGATACTTTATAATCTAGTCAGGTAAATCTTGGATTTCTTTGTCCTTAATTACATAACAACAGCAACGGCCTTTAGGAAAAAAGTGAAAAAAGTGTATTACAATTCAATGCTTTCTTCAATTTGTGTGTTTTTAGTGAAATAAAATAAAATAAAATAAAATAAACTGTCAGACCTTTTACGAAAAAACAATTAATTTATCTATGACTAATTATTCTTTAAATGTGAAGTTCTTAAACTTTTGCAGATACAAATTAAAATTATATAGGAAATCTTTAGGTACCAAAAGAATTTAACATATTAATAAAATTCAAATTATGAAAATATTTCCAAAATCCTGTAGTTTTTGTACCCAATAATTGAAATAAAAAGATATGATTAAATAAAAAAAATGCAAAAATACAAGAGCAACACTTTTTGAGCCAAAGTAAAACTTCCAACTAAAAATGTATCATCGTTTTGTAATACTTTATATACCTACAGTCAGCGTCAAAATAAAATAGTTCTGACACTCAAAGTGGCCAAAAAATTGATAACACAACCTTATTCCAATTGTAATAAAGACGTGTTGCGAACTTATTGCCTACTTTTGGTGACACAAACTATTTGACTCTGACTGTAGATACTGTTGGTTACAAACCAATGAACCTGAATGGTAAAGTAATTAACATAAAAAATGTAGCAGTTGCTCAGGTAATTAACTAATGAATAGTTATGACGTCACTTGCTCACGATTTTTGATTTTTATGCGAATCAAAGAAAACTGGTATCGCAAATATTGTTAGCTTGGCCTTGAGACCTGTCTATAAANATCTATAATCAGTGAAGACCCATGGGAAGAAATCTACAACCAGCCGGGCTAGTATGATCGCCGTGATAAAATCACAATGATTTTAGACGACAAATGTATGGGCTTATCGCATACAATCGAGAAAATGGCGCGATAAAAGTTTATCGTGGCGCGCATCCTAGGCCTACTGGTCGAATCTGCGCACCTGGCTGCCGTGACGTCACATCGACGCTTTGGTACGAACGGGGCGAACGCAGGGAGATGTGCGGGTGAGTGCGAGAGAGAGTCGCATTCCAGCGAGGTGGGCAGTTAACTTGACCGGGTTGTACTTTTAAATGGTTCAAATAAATACTTTGAAACTTTAAAGTTTTTATATGAATAAATAGTTAGGAAATTACAAAATTACACTACACAAACAAATTATACACTATGAACTTGATCTTAATAGACACCTGCACCAGTCTATCGTCAATAGAAACACAAAAATGACAATAGTAACTAACCAATTTTTGATATTTTTATTACCTGTATAAGTAATCTGTCTAGTAATTAAATAACTATTAACAAATAAGTATTAGTTATTATATCTTAATTGACAATTATTTTAAAAGGTATTCCTCGTAAATATAATATTAATTAATCATAGAAACCTATCGATATTATGTTGTATGGGTAAGTAGGTCCAGGCATAAAATCTACGAGCATTTGATTTCAAGTCGCTCTACATCCGAGGATGTACTGTTCACGAAAACATCTCAACCTTAAAACGGCTTATTCCCACAGGTTTTCTTCTCTACTGTTAAAAAAACATTGTCTTTATTAAAACCGGTGGGAAAAAAAAAACAAGAGTCGTGGACCTTTGGAAATACGCCCTTAAAACTTCATTTTTATTATGACTAACAAGAAAAGATAGGAGATCGTGCATAGAGCTGCCTCTACAATCGACGTGGATGACGACCGCTCTACCAAGAACGAAATGACAAACAAAATATGAAGAAGATGAAATATGAACCGTTGTACCTATTTATTTATTATTTCTCAGAATAAAAAGTTTCTCATGATCTAATGAATAAGATGTTTTAAGACTGTGTTGATCATCTATGTATAATGTACTTACGTACACAGGATAGTAAATATTATAAATTCTGGCAATAACCGGTCACAAACATTACATTATCAAGATGTTTTTTATTATGCATGTACAATTTTTTTAAAAGTTCATCTTAGTAATTACCTAAATCGTTAGATACATTTCGCAAATAATATTAAAACTTATTTGCAAAGATAGCGCACATAATTGACGACAATTACGTTGATAATGTAAGTAAAACCACAGAATAAGGTAAAACATTATTATGGCAATTGTTCAGGTGGTAAAAACTTTTTACACATTCAGAAGTTTTTGTACAGATATTTATTCTGAGACAGCATCTGTGACCGGCAAAATAATATCATTGGGGCTATGTTCAACAGTGGTCCTATCTATGGCTGAAATGATGATGATGATAATGCTGAAGACTGCATTGGTTCTTTAAACAAAAATCAGGTAGTACTTACGTGTCCAAACATAAAGACAATATCACAGCAACAACTACGATAAATACTAAAAAAGAAATTGAAGCCAAAATGTAAAGTTTTCTCTTTTCCATCACTGCATCATTCATTTTTTCATCAGATTTGATAAACTCTTGAAATAAACACTTCACTTTCTTCTCATCAGGATTCTTCAATTGATTTACTAAGTACTAAATATGTACTAAATATCCCTGGTAATTTATAAGACATGTGCATGGTTTGCTTATGTCTCTCACCGACACCATCTGTTTGTTCCATGACGAGACCTTATTTGAATAATAAAATGGTTTTCATTGGCTTAATAGATAGAGATATTCCATGTGATAAAAACTCACAGTAGTGTCGTTCCAAAATTATAAATCTCAGTGATTCTGTGTACTTTTAATCTTGTTGGTGAAAGGGTGGCACTGCTCAGTTTACTCTTGTTTTTTTTCTTCTCCCATTATTAAGTGCCACTGTCATGTCTATGTAATTGCCTGTATTTGTGTGATGTCCATTGTAATAAATGTATCTTTCTTTATTTCTTGCCATTTTCTGATAATATAATGCTATTATTGGCTAATCAGTTGCACAAAAAATACATTATAATTGTCTATGAACTCGTAATTACGAGTAGTGTAATAAATTAGAACTCTTTTGTATACTAATGCGTTTTTGGGAAACAATTAGTATGTAAACAGCAAGAGTATGCGTCATGTTTTTAAAATGGAATTAAAAACGCTAGAAGGTGCCTTTGTGTATTTTTAGTTCGATATTTTGAACAATTTACTTAATTCTTACCTATTCTGTTATCTGCTTTGCGAAGTCGATCTTTATTTCACAAATTCTCCCTTGTTTCGTTAGTTTTAATGCAGGCCCAAGAAAAATTTAACTCTCCTCCAAGATTTCTGCTTAATTTACTGATAATTTTCGGTTGTCAAGCTGAAGATCCTGTATACACCAGGAGTTGCTGTGGTGGAATTATAAACTATCTCGTTAAAGAAAAACTTATCTAACAATTCTCACTTACTCTTACTACTTTTTCACTACTATATTTGTAATTATTGCAATCGTCATCATCAGCATAGCCACCATACTTAGCTGTTAGACATCATATATTTATATTAGCTTGAATTTTATCCTTTTTAAGACAATTTGTTATCATAAATAATATAATAAATAAATAAATAAATGATTCTTTATTCAAGTAACCAGGACTCAGTTTGTTAGTAACAATTGCACTTAAAAACTATGTTAGTTGAAACAAGATGTAAAATAAGAAATTAAATAAATTGAATTTAGATTAAATAGAATCATAGAATCTTCAAACAGGCCTACTATGTATTGTTATATTGTAAGTGCGATGGTATTTACTATTATCTTATATCATTGCAGAGATGAAAGTCGTAAATTAACTTAATAATTGTGTTACATGAGAGACATTCGTTTAGTTTAGTCTATTGGAAAGCACTCCTTTCTATTCAGCAATTCCATTTTTATATTACCAAAAATCTTATACAATTTTGAAAGCAATATTATCGCTTAACGTTATGTCATTAATTTTGTCTTCGTTATCATCATCAAGTGATCCAGTTTCTAGAGGCAAATGAAGGATCTGCTGCTCTGGCCAGACGGGTTGGGAAAGCCATTATTAGGTAGGTACTTAATGTTTATCGGTTTGCCTACAATACCCATTTAGAATTCTAAAATTCTGAGTGATCTGTGTACAGTCGAGAAATGTGTCATTTTGTGTTTGGTTTATTTATTGAAAAAGTGCAGAGTTAAGATTTAAAATCTACCTAATATTTTCATAACTACGTGGTTGATTATCATATTTTTTACAAGCTTTATTGTTCTAAATGTTTAATATTTAAATAATAAATATTTGTGCATGTCTGCTTTATTAGGTAGTAAAAGTTTATCTTTTAATGACTGTATTATTAAACCATCAACAAAATCTCAGAAAGAAGAACGGTCATCTGTGACCCAGACCCGACAGAAACGAGACATACCTCAGTTTTTTTGTCATGTCTTAATTAGTTAAATTATATATATTTTTTATATTCGAAATCTATGTATAACACCAAAATATTAACCTTTGTTTTTGTTCAGGCGTTATACAAAAACTAATACAAAATGCCTATTTATCACCAAAATTGGTAAATGTATGTACCTAAATGTCTATTACAGCTGCTACGGAATGTATCTAGGTGACCTGGAGATACAGCCGGAATATACAGGGTGGAAACGATAAGTGATCTCACTCGATTATTTCTAAACTATACAAGATATCGAAAAACTAGTTACTGATTCTGAAAGTGCTTCACGAGCTCCTTCAAATGGTACCAAATAATAGGTTACAGATTATGGAAGCTGGTAACATAGAATTTTTGGATTTTGTAACTTCTCGTTTCCACCCTGTATAATCCGGCTGTATCTCCAGGTCAGCTAGATACATTCCATAGCAGCTGTAATAGACATTTAGATACATACATTTACCAATTTTGGTGATAAATAGGCATTTTGTATTAGTTTTTGTATAACGCCTGAACAAAAACAAAGGGTAATATTTTGGTGCTATACATAGATTTCGAATATAAAAAATATATAATTTAACTAATTAAGACATGACAAAAAAACTGAGGTATGTGTCGTTTCTGTCGGGTCTGGGTTTTTTTTGTATGTGGCGTGACCGTTCTTCTTACCATAAAATATTTAAGAGCTTAAAACGAATGAAATTTTCCATGTAGCGCCATCTAGCAAACGTTTCCAATACTAAGAGGTAAGCAGATTTCGTACAACAGTGCTGGTTGACCGTATTACGACTTGAATAATATGCTTTAGTTTCAAGTGTTTATTCTAGATGGCATTAACTTACACTTCCAAAAAAATTTTCTTGTCTGGTCTATCTCTATCAGGGTTGGGGGTTTAAATGAACTACCATGAACTACTTATTTAGTGTTATTATTACTTTACTATAAAAATACAGGTCAGCAGGATTAATTCAATTTCACTCATCTGTTTTGGCTTCAAAAGGCTGGTAGTCGTCCTGAAAAAAGTTTAATTAAAATATTAGGAATTTTATTGTGATAGTGCTTTAAAAATTTAATAAAATTCAAGCGGATCAACTAAAATCCTAGTGGTTTGATTGAGTCCTGTTCAAGTTAATAAAAACGTCAAAATATGTTCCACATAAAAAATCAGTGCGTAACGCCAAAATTAAACACATCTTAAGCTGTAGCTTATTTTTTTGGAAAAATTGAGCTTTCAATCTAGAGCTGAAGTCAAATGGATATCGAAAAGCACATTTGAATAACTCTGTAGGATTTTCCTTTCTTATCTTTCGTTCGTTTCAGCCAAATTACGTCCACTGCTGGACAAAGCCCTCCCCCAAGGCTTTTTATAACGACCAGTCCTGCGCTTGCCGTGTCCAGGTTTTTCCAGCGACCCTCACCAGGTGGTCGGTCCACCTAGTAGGAGGCTTGCCCACGCTACGTCTTCCGGCCCGTGGTGGTTGCCACTCGAGAATTTTTCTGTCCCAACGGCGATCGTCTCTACGAGCTATGAGTATGTCCTTTCTTATATTTCTATGGATTTGGAAACATTATTTTCGAAGATAACTTACCTGATGGTAAAACCACCAGCTCCGTATATCTTTGCTTACATTCACTGGAATTAGGTCAGAGTATTCTGGTGCTTCTTGGTTTATTTTTATGTGATTAAATGAATTCTGGAATAAAAGTTTTGCATATGAATCTACGATATCAAACTTCCTGGCTTGGAAATAAATTAGTTAAATTGGGCTGTAGTATTATCTAGGTAGATGTGACGAACTAAATCAAATCTACAGTATTCCCTGCTTGCAAACTACCTGCCAATCTACTATGTGACTCAATCTATCGTTATTTATTAGTATCGTCGCGTAGCGTCTTGTCGCTGATGTTGTTCAGCGCGGTATCAAGGAGTAATTTCGTGTCGAGTTGTTCTGCGATGTTAATTGGCGTGATGCTTTCGTGATGAATGGATGGTTATTAAATTATACTTATTCATGCATAAACCGTTGAATCGATTTTGAGGAAACGCTTATAGCAGCTACATTTTATAGAGATCAATGCAGATGAAGTTTTTTTTATCCACAACGAGGAAGCTCTTGGCCTGCATTTCACCTGATAGAAAGTGAAGATCAGGCCGAAGGTGGAAGGGAGCTTCACCCGGAATCTTCAATACGTTCCATCAATTTGCTTGAGAAAAAATATGTAAACAAACCTGAGAGTCCCAAAACCATTTCTTTTTAGAATTATCATTGTCGGTGTGTTCCGGTTCTATGTAATCATTATTTTCTTCATATTCTTGTCCATATTCATCACTCCAGCTTACATCATCGTCGTCCTCAGCATCACCATCATTATATTCATTATCATCATCATCATCATCTTGTCGTAAATATGGTTTATGCCTTTTTCCAGAATTTCTTTTAGGAGAAACATTTCCCAAGTTTTTGTAAGCAAACTGTAATGTTTTTTAATTTGTTGAAAAATGTTTTTGCTTGCGACATTGCGTTCAAGTAGATTTAAGGTCAGTGAAATTGAGTTTGGATCTCAAAATGCTGGCACTTACAAGTTTATTTACGGGATATCTGAAAATCGGGAAACAACAAATTATTTTACATATTTATTTGAAAAATAACAAAAAAAATCTCAGAATATACAATTAACAAAATATTTCATACTTGATATACCTACCTACTTACTTAATATACATTTTCACATGATTCATTAAGATGATAATAATATTTTTATGTTAAATTAAAGGAAAGAAAACTTACTGTTTTCGGAACCGACTGGTCTTTTTCTTCTTCTGTAAATGTATTCTTATAATTACTACAATCTATAACTTTTCTTAAAATATTACCTTGTTTTACTTTTAAACTTATGATCTATGAACTCACTGGTCCATGCAAACGGTATCGGTTCTTTGGAAATATCTTGACAATTCTTAAAAAAAAAAATTTTAGATGTTAGCCTCAATTATTTTATTCTAGTGTATATAATAAGTTTAAATCATTTATTTCTCCTTACCGTTTGTCACGTTTACTTCTTGTCTTCGTTAGTTTTTTTATATTTCTTAAGAGCTGATCCAATACGTTCTTATTTTTATCCTAAAATTGATAAATATTTATAAAACATAGCATTCACATCACCACTAGGTGGACCGACGATCTATTTATTTATTTTATTTGGCCTTTGTCCAGCTGTGGATGACATTTGGTTGAACAAAAGATGCACTTATATTATGAATTAACTTCATTGCATTAATTCAATAATATAAATAAATAAATCAAATGGTAGTTGAAGACCCTGGGAATAACATAATGCTTCGTTGGTTGAGATTTTATTAGCTCAAGCGTATAAATCTTGTCTGCAAATACGAGTACAGAAGTGTCGTTGGAGGGAACAAAAGGTAAGAATATTCTTAGTGAAATAAAGTCAGATTTATCGTGTCATGGGAATAAAGTGTTATTTATTTAGCTGATAATGTTATGAGCGGCCTTCATGTTTTGCAGAATATGTTCCAGTGTTGTAATGGAATTGTTTATGTCTTACCAGATCCAGTACCATAGAAGATAAAACGTATCTGAAAATATTTTTTTAATGTTCACTTTATTATCAAGATATTGTTCAATTTTACAAACTTATTTTAAATAGCTTACTGTGGCTTCGAAGCTTTCGATTTTACTGGCGCTACCTAAATAACAGAGAAATCATTTTGTTAGTGGTGAGATACAATAATAAAGCTACAGGTGCCTATGGACGATTGAACTTAAGGGTTTTAAAGTAGATCGAAATATTGTTTAATCTAAACACGAGTTAACTTACCACAATGTATTTTGCAGGTGTCCTACGGAATCCCGAATATAATATTCGTTCGTTTCGTCCGTCATATCTGAAAATAAAACAATTTTATAGCTAAAATATTTTAATTGGGTGTCTTATTTACCAGAGGAAATAAGGACGATTGGACATTCTCTCCCCATACTGGCCAAATTAGGGAGGTCTAATGTTCGCGCATCTAACGACATCTACGGGAAGACTGTTGGTGGACCGTTTCTATTCTGGCGAAACCACATGGTTCTGAAGATTGCAGAGCAGTATAATCAACAAGAAAGAATGCATACCTGATGCCCAAATTGTTCAAATTCCCTAAAACGCCAGCGCCATTCTCTTGGTCTTTATGGGGGAACTTGACGGAGGATTTGAGCATGCCCAGCGCTGGTCTGATGAGCGTGTGACCTGGTAGAATGGGCTCAGCTTCGGGCAGATGGCTTGGCATGGACGGAGCGCCAAGTATGGACCCTACTTGGCGGAGGTCGTATCGGAAACGTCTCTGGAATGTAATAATGAAGGATTGAATAATTATTAGTCGTCTAGTCCTAAAGTAAGTAAATATTAGTAAGATACCATAAGTATAATATTGACACAATTTTGGGACATATTTACATAGAAACACCCAAAATACATAATTAATAAATAAATAGAAATAAATACCAACCGATATAATATAATGTTCATAAACCTAAATGTTAAGGTGAGTATAGACTAAAGCATTTACTTTTAACAAAACAACGACCCGCTCTATAAAATGTCACGCTTTGACGAACCAAACGTCGTACATTTTACCTGTATGTACCATTCGTAAGAACGTTTTAATACAATGCTCTAATCTATTTCCACCTTCAAACATATTTTTTTATTATTATTTTCGTTCTAAAATAATAATGTTCATTAGAAGATTAAAAACATTCTTGAAGTATCTACATTTTGGGTTCATTATATCTTATCTCCTTTGGAAAAATCCATCCGCATCTACCGTAATTATTGGAAGCAGTGCCTCAAAGAACTGAAAAATACTCTCTATGCAGTTTTGTTGCAAAATAATATCCAGAAAAAATAAATAACTGCATCCTTTCGAGGTGCTTGTTAAAATTTTGTTTAGCAGTGCTTTGACTTCTCTAGTGAGAAATATTAATGATCGAAGAAATATTTGTAGTGGCAGTAAATGGTGTCTATTTTGGATTTTATTTAAACCAAATGTGATTGTCATTGTGAGAGGGCTTTGATGTGATCCAAATATTTAATCTTTGTCTTCTATCGAATCATAAGTAGATTGTTCCATCCACGAAGACTCGCCCCTACAATTTTTGGTCGAGGGAAGCGCGGGGTGAGAAGAGTTTGATCCGAGCAATCCGAGCGTCATTATTGTAGTGTGCGTGTGCACTCATGGATAATTTAGCGTGTACCGATAACACTCAAACATTAGCGGAAGAATGGTGGGGCGCGTCTTCGTGGATGAAACGATCTAATGTATTTACTGAGATCACAAAATTTTAGTTTAGATACAAAGATCATAATTGAAATAGTTTCAGACTCAATTTCAATGCCAATATCGTTTATTTTTAGAGAGAACTGTTAATTTATAGTTATTGTTTTTTTTTATTACTTATCATAATTATTCATTTACCGTTTGCACATCATCAGCTTCAGCGCTTTCTCCGCGGTCTTCCTGGAAAATACAAAGTCAATGTGATTCGAAACGACGATAGCACAACGTACCTAGACTCATCATCATCATTTTAGCCACAGGACGTACACTGCAGAACATAGGCCTCCCCCAATGACTTCCACGATGACCGGTTGACAGCGACCTGCATCCAGCGCCTTCCCGAATTCGAGAAACTCGTGTTCGATCCTCGTCAATTGCTGAATAGAAAACACCCTGAAAATCTAGCCGTGTGTACTAGGTTATGTAACTCATATAAAAAATGTCGCGTTGAGACCTGTGTTTCTCTATTTTTCCCTGAATGTCTAATTTATGCCCCAAATCGAGGAAGTGTGTAGAGGGCCTAATAATAATGATAATGATCATCATCATCATCATCATCATGTCAGCCATTATCATAGGACGTCCACTGCTGAACATAGGCCTCCCCTAATGCTTTCCACGTTGATCGATTGGTAGCGGCCTGCATCATGATCAATTTCATTAATTGAATATTATAATTAACAAGAGCCCGTACATATGACTGGTAAATTGAACATTTATACGTTCTATAGGTAGGTACATAAAATATTTGTTTGAGAATCTTTGAGATATTTAATTACAATCAATTAAGAGGTAATGAATGCCTGCGACATTTTACGCACCTAGTACCTAGTAGTTTAAGGTATGTTATATATTTTTTTAAATTATCATGAGTAACTTACTGATGCATCCTCCATTTTCTCTCTAAATATGACTCCATTACAGTGTAAAATACTCTGAAATTTTGGATCATTAATTATTATTAACGTTTATTATAATTATGTTATAACTAATTTTCAGCCCTTGTTTTTGTAGAAACCATGTTTATAAAGAAATCATTTATTAACAATTCGTTCGTTTCTTCATTTCAGCCAAATGACGTTCACTGCTGGAAAAGGGTCCCCCCAAGGATTTCCATAACGACATTTATTAACAGTATTATTATGAATTTGTTCAGTTTAGCTTTATAATAATATCAAGTCACGAAATCTTAAGACGGGTCTCTAGCGTATTTTGCCCTACACATTCAACAAAAACATCTCAACGTTCAACATTTTGTAGGCAATTTTGGAACACGCGTTAGAGACCCGGCTTTACTCATGACGTTTTAAAAGTTGCAATTTTACAACCAAATATAACGAAATGGATGCAACTTTCAGACAAATAAACAACCGATTAAAAATTAAAAACTTACACATAATAAAACGTAGTATCCCACCGTCTTATCCATACTAACTCCGGTCCATGCCCCGATAATTTCTAAGCCACAGTTAAGTCGAAAGCAATCAAACTTTTTCCATTAAATTAACCAGCTCTATGATTACAAAGTAAAATGCCATGAAAATGGAGATAGTAACGCATTTCTATTAAACCTTATAAGTACTCGGAACCCATTAAAAGTTTAGGTTTTAAAATAGATTATTTTGAAGGGGTACTTACTTGAGAAACTTTGAACAATGTTTCACGCTGAAGGTTTGGCAAACGTTGGCCAAAAATAGTACCAATAAATAATGACTCAAAATGTCATAATGTGATTATCCTTTATCCGACGACATGCGATCTCACAGACCGTTCCGGTATTTGAAATTTCTAGATTATAATATTCTACTTACGTCTTACACCCATGTCCCGAGTGCGCGTAGGTATACAAAAAATTACGTCATCATTTAAAGGTTAAATTATATTAACTCAAACATGGAACCACCTTATTAAACAATGCCTACGATTCGCATCTAAACTCCTAGGATCATGAATCCATCTCACTCATGCATTTTACTTGAAACCCTATAGACTAGTCTGATAGAAATTATTTAGAAAGATGTTAAATTTAAATAATAAAAGAGTTCTGTTTGTGGACATGAAGTACACAATCCAAATAATAACATTCTTCTAGTTTCAAGCACTGTCCCACTTTTATGTAGTAGGTAGGCAGGTAGTCAAGCACTCTAACAAATCAACTTTCATAGCGTTAACTCTATTTTGACCACCAGATCAATACGGGCGGCCACTCTATTCTAATCCTCACTATTTTCTGACCAACCATTGCAGCATTTGGAGGTATACCTAATACTGGCCGTTGAGATTCTCATTTTATTTTAAGTTATTTTAAGATTCTGGGTAAGTTTCACCACCTAACTTTGACTGTAACTTTAATGATAACCGGTGTTTTTTGTATGGAGTTAGACATATTTTTGACGTGAAACATTTTGAAGACTTTTCTGTGACTTCTGACAACATGTGAAAAGTCGAAGACTCATATCGGCGGGTCGTTTGGTGTGTAGACTGCTTAATACCCTGCTAAGAAAGGCGCTGGATGCAGGCCACTACCAACAGGGCGATGTGGAAATCATTGGAGAGGCTTAATGTTCAGCAGTGGGACGTTCTGTGGCTGAAATGATGATGATGAAGATGATCGATGCCTGCCAAGCTGCCAATGATGTCCATTACTTTGGCATTCTTTTTTAAAATGATGATAAGAAATTCACTCGCGAATTGCACACACGAAAACCTAAACATTTTCTGTTATTAAATATTTTGGAGGACCTCGAGAGCTACTTGTATAAAGTGCTATTAATGATTCAGGGACTCTTCACCATTTCAGTGGAAGCAAGTGCATCACTTACATTCCATACGGTATTCTATTTGACCTTTATTTTAAGGAAAAATGCATGAAGCGGCACTTCTTATATGAAAGTTGGTCAGTTAAAGGAAAGGTTTCGTATTTCGCTCACTAGAATTAGTTGCCTAAGGCGGGAATCAAACCCCTTCGCTTGCCGGGCGACTGCTCTTACCATCTGAGCTATTCACGCCCATATTACTATGAGGTCTCACAGTGCGCCTGGACGCACAGGGTGACACCCGAACCAATTACAGAGCTCTGCTTCTTCTCAGCACTGGCCCATTTATTGTCCTGAAGCAGTGGTAGGGTTAATACTGGGACGTGTAAAAGGCTTTTAAAAAGCCTACTTGCATAAATATATGAGTTTTAGGAGTTTTCTATTCAACGCTGTGCGTTCGATTGGTCCACAGTCACTGCACTGCCATTTTAGCTTACTACATTTTGTCAATTTCTATTTTTTACCCATAACGGGGAAGCTATTGGCCTACATCTCACCTGATGGATGATCAGGACAATAGTGGAAGCGAGGAGGAAAGAGGAACTGGCAATCATATCTCCAACTTAACAACAATTATTCTTTTATCATTGTTGGTGATAGGTTTATTTATGATCCTACTAATATTATAAATGCGAAAGTTTGGATGTCTGGATGTCTGGATGTTTGTTACTCTTTCACGCAAAAACTACTGAACGGATTTGGTTGACTTTACATTATTATTATTTGTAACGCATAATTTATCCCGATCTGTGAGGCAAAAGCTAGTGCTCTTATAAAACTGTGGCTACGAAAAACTTTTACGCAACTTAGTAAAAATAACGTAAATACATAGATACTTTTGTATAGGTACATAGCAACTCGAATCCATTACACTTACACGAGTGTTGTAGAACCAATAATTCATCATACTTTCCCACTCCTTGACATCTAGATCCATTTTATTCGTATCAATTACTGTCAAATGCAATAAATTGCTAAAAGCGACCTAAGAAACAGCCTGGTAAATGTTTTATTGCTGTAATATGAGGATTTTNTGGTTGAACGTCATATTCCATAACTTCAGCTTTATAATATTAGTATAGATTATATGAATTTGTTCAGTTTAGCTTTATAACAAGTCACGAAATCTTAAGACGGGTCTCTAGCGCATTTTGCCCTACACATTCAACGAAAACATTTCAACGTTCAATATTTTTGTAGGAAATTTTGGAACACGCGTTGATGTCCCGGTTTTTCTCACGAAGCTTTAAAAGTTGAATTTTACAACAGAATATTATAATGAACATGGATGCAACTTTTAGACAAATAAACAACCGATTAAAAATTAAAAACTTACACATAATAAAACGTAGTATCCCACCGTCTTATCCATACTAACTCCGGTCCATGCCCCGATAATTTCTAAGCCCACAGTTAAGTCGAAAGCAATCAAACTTTTTCCATTAAATTAACCAGCTCTATGATTACAAAGTAAAATGCCATGAAAATGGAGATAGTAACGCATTTCTATTAAACCTTATAAGTACTCGGAACCCATTAAAAGTTTAGGTTTTAAAATAGATTATTGGGTTTTGAAGTGTACTTACTTGAGAAACTTTGAACAATGTGTCACGCTGGAGGTTTGGCAAACGTTGGCCAAAAATAGTACCAATAAATAATGACTCAAAATGACAGATGTGATTATCCTTTATCCGACGACATGCGGACTCCCAGACTGTTCTGAATTTTGAAATTTCTAGATTATAATGTTCTACTTACACCCATGTCCCGAGTGCGCGTAACAAAAAAATGACGTCATCATTTAAAGGTTAAATTATATTAACTCAAACATGGAACCACCTTATTATACAATGCCTACGATTCGCATCTAAACTCCTAGGACCGTGAATCCATCTCACTCATGCATTTTTCTTGAAACCCTATAGACTAGTCTGATAGAAATTATTTAGAAAGATGTAAAATTTAATTAATAAAAGAGTTCTGTTTGTGGACATGAAGTACACAATCCAAATAATAACTTCTTCTAGTTTCAAGCACTGTCCCACTTTTATGTAGTAGGTAGGCAGGTATAAAAGTCAAGCACTCTAACAAATCAACTTTCTTGGCGTTAATATTTTGACCACCAGATCAATACGGGCGGCCACTCTATTCTAATCCTCGCTATTTCTGACCAAACAGCATTTGGAGGTATGATACAGGCCGTTGAGATTCTTATTTTAAGTGACGACTTAGAATAAGAATTATACTGTATTTTTGCAAAATAGCATCTATTATAACGATATAACAGTCATATTGTGTTTTACTGGTTTGTAAAGGACTTTACACATCAAGCCCGCCGACAGCGCAACGGCTTGGTGTCAGTGGCTTTATTTCAAAAGAAATATTTCGCCGACAGCGTG